GCGGGATGGTGCTGAGGCAGCGGTGAAGCGACCACTGAAGTGGATGTCAGAATACAGCAGCTTCCTGTCTACTGCTTTGGGGACTCTTTCGGAAAAGGGTGGCATGACGAAGGTGACAGAGGAGACTGTGAAGGTCGCCGGCAAGCGCATCTCCGACCTCTACCCCGACGTTCTCAAGACCACAGCTCGGCTTGCTGCGACAGCGGATGCCAATGAGATCTTGATGGATTCGATGTGCAAAGCTGCTGCTGAGCAAGGCGCGCCCCCGAGCATGCCAAAGTTGGCAGATCTGTCGCAGTCCGTGGGGCGAGGCAGTGTTTGGATCCATGGAACGATTGGAACTCTCACGACATCAACGACCTACTTCTCCTATGACCACGGCCGCTTCGTGGAGCCAGAAGATCATTTGAGGATTTTGGGATGGGATGGAGAGTCGATCAAGTTGGCATCTCAATGCTTGTCAAGGGCAGAACTCCAAGAGGCTGCAGGCAATGGAATGAGCTGGGCCGCTGTTCTGAAAGTGCTGCTTCCCCTGCTGATGCGCATGGGGTTTTGTCCGATCTCTTGAGATGAATGGAGGTCGAGTCTGCTGAAGCAGTGAAGTTTTGATTGAAGCCGGGGAGCCGCGAGTTAAAGGGTTTGTGCACTCAACACCTGCCAGCCACGACAAGTTTGGTCCAACGGTGTAAGTAAATAAAGCCTGAGACTAAAACAATTCTCCGAGGTCCGGTGCCGCTGGCGACGGCCGAGCCCTGAGCTGCTGTGACCGACGCTGTTTCTCAGAGACTGAGAGAGGTTCTGTGCAACTTGAAGTCATGCAGCCTCAGCTTAACAGCATGTCGCTGTAGTAGGGGGCTCAAGTTGCAAAATGTGGTTGCTGGCAGTGAAGCTCTTGACGATCGATGCTGACATAGTTGATGGACCATTCTCAATGTTTTAGAAGCACATGAACCATTCCGATTCCGGAAGCTGTACAGTATAGCCGTAAAGATTCAGTGCTCTAGGTAGTGTTAAACCAGTTTTCCAAAGTACAAGAGATGGTAATGGAGACATTTATCAAGCGACATTGTTGTGAAGTGTTAATCATACTGTCAGACAGTCCCCGTGCCTCGAGCATTTTGTTCGTAGCATCATGGAGATCCTGTGGTACGGCAATTCAGTCAGCGTGCTGCAGCTTCTTGATCCGTCGGCAAACGTTACAGTTTTGGCCAAAAGCAAGGACGAAGCATTGGTGGTGGGTAGGATTCGTTATGGGGATGCATTTCCCAAGGTGTTCAACCTCGAATGCTCTGAGGAAGGCGAAGCGACGAAGTTGCCGCAGCTGCAGAGCAGTAAGGTTGTAATCGCGGCATGCGTGCAGAACGAGACGGATATGGCCACAGTGGTTGACATTGCTTCAAAGATGGACAAGATCTTTGCTGTTGTCATTGCTGGTCCGATGGTCCCGGATGTCATTGCGCATGGCGAGATGACTGGCTGGAGCTGCAGCACTAAGGATGTGTTGTGGGAGCTGGTGGGGTCAATTTTCGCTGGCAAGACGTCTTTCATTGCCATGGTTCGCAAGGTCGACAGAGCTGAAAAGCTCCAGCAGCTGCTTGAGAAGTCATCGAAGGATCACGTCGGTTATGAGAACTCCGTCTACAACCCTCAGCCGGCGAGTCCGTCTTCCACGTTAACCCCTGTCCTGCAGCAGCCGGGGGCCAATGCAGGCAAGCGGCGCTTCATTGAGGATGCATTGACCGAGTTGAGAAGGACTGGGGATGGCGTTAACAGGCCCTTGTTCATCGAGGGAGAAAAGACCAAGCGCCAATGCATTATGAAGCCTCCGCTCTGCAACCGGCGCAGCGCAGTTTTGATGCGATATGAATCGCAAGACTTCCTTCTGGGCCCCCACGAGTTTGCTTGCTACCTTGGATGGCGAGAGCATTCCTTGAACATGCACTTGCTCCCCAAGGCTACGGCCCAGCACATCTTGGGGCAGAGTCTTTCGAAGGGCGTTGCGAGCATCATGTTGGCAGTTTTGAATGGCGTCATGGGTGCCTGGGAGAAATTATGACAGTGACAGTACTTGTAATTATAGGCGTTCAATTCAGATGAGGCAATGCGGCTAATTCACCGAGAAGGGTTCGTACGGTTGTCGGTTTGATACTTAGTAAAACTGACACATAGTTTTGCATTACCCTCCTTAGAATAAGAATTGCTTCCATAAGCGTCCGAAGAA